TCTTCTCCCAAAATCTGTTTCTTCTGTTAGGACTCTAGAAATCAATAGTTGGACTTTCTTCACCTTTATTTCGGTCTGAAAGCATCGAAATTTCCCTGAATGAATCTGATTGCTCGTGCTCACTGGAGTAGGGAGTGATTTAGTGAGAGCTACTGTTCTGAGATGCGCCATCCAATCATCTGTGGTGAGTAATTGTTGCGGTAAATAAAAGACTGTTTTTTGCCGACTGCCATTCCTTGTTACCTTCAGCTTTTGTGACTGGTACTTAAGCTTACGACCCCTTCCATTGGCCAAAAACGACCTGGTCCTTGCGCAGCGAGCAGTTGACCCTCTCCTAGTAGGCGGAGCTTGCTCGGACGAGTTCTCTTGCCGTGCCATTGCGAAGTTTTTTGTGCGCTCCTCTCAAATTCTTCTTGCACTTTCGTGCACTTTTCTTAACTGCACACATATTCTTTTTTCATTATTCATAACTTTTAGATACACCTGTTATCATGGGCGTCTCAGAGAAGGAGGTCGATTTCCCTCGAAGTGGTGCACCTTCGGTCCGAACACCCAACACTGCAAAATCGGCGATTTCAAAGAGTTTTAAAACGATTAATGACGAGAATCAACTATTCGGTGTTCCCAAAAAGGTACGTCATTTCTTCAAAACGGCAATAGTACAAACATTCTGGAGTGAGTAATCGAAGCTCCGGGTTCTCCTGAACTTTGTACATCGCAAGATTCATTGTTTGAATGGGATGTTACGAGTGGGAAGCGTTGAAATATTAGGTTGTTCCAAAAGTCTTTGCCCATTTGTCGATTTTTTTGAATCCACTTTTCTTCTTTAGCCCAGTCAGCAATTTACAATCATATGCCCCATCATAATCGTCAACATATTGCCTTTCAGCAGGTGACTTGTGCCGTTTGCCTAGAAGTCCTGAGCTTTCGAGGCAAAAAAAAACTGGAAGAAGTCCGTTTTCGAGTAGTCCGGAACATGAAGCTCTCTCTTTTAGTTGAATCAGCAGCAACAGAAGCAGACGGTATTCTGTTGGGGCCGGATCTGCTGAACACAATTGAGACAGAACATCCCATAAGGGGCTTGGAGACTTTTGCTGGACCTTCTTCAAAATTCCTTGACGGTCGTTGCTTGGATGAAGTGAACTTTGTAATGTTTTCTAAGCATAGTGCCGGAGATCCCATCCGCTTGCCCACATTATCGAACTACAACAGCAGTGCAGTTCGTTGGTAGGAGCTGTCGGCAAACGAATCGCTTGCAGCTTTACCAACTCTGAAAGTTGCCTCTCAAGTTGCAGTGCTGGAATGGACGTCGGAATCTTGGTTCTACGCGTCTGAGCCAGTGGCGCTCGCGGGTGTGGTTTACTTGAGGAACCCACTCCTTGCTACCACCAACAAAGTAGTCGGGTCAAACAGATACAGACGGTAAAAAATATTCATGCAAAATCTGAAGGCTTCTGAAGGCGGTTGTCACCCAGATCACGAAATCTCCTTTTGCCATAATTTCTTTTCTTTTTGAGGAGCTATTGAGGAATGGCTATTGTGTTCTGATAACTGTGGAAAAGCTGTGTCAGTTACCGTGCATTGCACCAGACTGTTTCCAAACAACTCCAGAAGACACTCGTCACTCAGGTAACAAGCCGACCGACTTTGGGCTTTTTTCTCGAGTTTCTGGACATCGGCAACCAAATGTTTGCCATGTCGTGAAAGACACTCTGGAGGTCCATCGCAAGACGTAAGGCTCTTGCCGCATCGCTTCCACTTGACGCGTTTTCTGGGTTTTAGAATCAAGAGTAGCC